AAATGGTTTACCTGTGTTTTCAAATGTAATATTAATTCTCCTGCATTTCAGCCTCTCACTTTCCTGGCTCATCAAAAAGATAAGGAGCCCATTTTGATTAATTATAGGATTTCTACTGCATGATTAAATAATGACAGCTATTATAATAAAAATTTTCAGTATTGTCTAGACCTGTTGTGCCCCAATTACACTAAATGGCCCTAGTAACATTTTGTACTACTTTATATTCTTATGACATCAGGGCAGCTTGTTGCTGTTGATGGATTTTCTTTATTCAGTTTCATGTTTTTTGTTTGTGTTTTTTCTTTAGTATGTATTTCCACTTCAGGTTACACAGCTTAGCTCCACGTAAAGAACAAAAACAAATTCCAGAGTGGTTCAGAAGAACTATACAGTACCTTTTGAAACCTTTTTTTTTTTCAGGCAAAAACAAATTCAGGTTGCCCTAACAAAAGATATGCAATATTGCAGAAATGCAGTGAATGGTGGAGGTCACATCCTGTGGGTCACAGCCCATAGGGCAAAAAAATAAACCGTTTAACCATTCACGTGTAAGGACCCATTTACGAAAATGAGTAACTTTTCTGTAGTATGTGTTTTTTTTGCTTGGGTTTGTGGCAAAGAGTGGGCAAAACAAACGTGGGCGATCTCTCCTTTGGCAGCACTTAACGGTGTGTGGTCTTTTTCGTGCGAGCAGGGGGCTGTTTGCCTTTTACCTTTTACAGTAAAACACGTCTGACCCACGTCCTGAGAGGAGGTGCGGGGCTCGTGTTTTTTTGCAGCCCTCCCCAGCGACTCAGTTCTTCTGAAGCCGTGGGGCTGTGGTTTGCTGAGGCGGGCGGTCTGAAAGCCCGGAGTTGTGTCTCGGAGCAGAGCTGGTAGGCTGGTGTGGTGAAGGCGACGCGCGGCAGGGGTGCTGAGGTCTGGCACGAGCCAGAAATGGGCGCCTGTTTCCTGTTGCACATGCTGCCACCCGTAGCCAATGGCCAAGACGAACGGTGGGGGTATGTGTGAAACAGGGATGTGTTGAAGGCCATGTGGGCAGTGATTCTCATTACCCTACGTGATTTGACATCAGAGGGTAATGTTAGATTTTCACTGTAACAGGGGAAGTGGGAAGCCTTTTGTCAGCCCTGGTTTTCCTGAGACCTGGGCCGTCACCTGGTATGAGGCCTGGTATCGCCAGCTGATGCAGTGCCCAGGGTTGCCAGGCAGAGATTGTCTGAGCTGGCCTCCATCCAACTGGCTACTAGGGCCAACAGTGTTTGACATTAACAGCTTGTACCAGTCTTGATTAACGCTAGGGAGTAATGAGAGACATAAGAGGTTACAGTAACCAGAGGCCATTTTTTCAGTAGTAGTAAAACTTTTATGTTAAAACGGTGCCTTTCTTGGCAGATCTTCTGAAATCATCTATCATTTTACAATTAAAAAAATAAAATAATGCTAGAGGCAGGTGTCCAGGATGCGACAAGGTTCACTGACCTGTAAGATACCTGCTGGGAGAGCAAGAGTCCAGAGCTTCGTTTTGGGTGCTGAAAGAGGGCCAGAGTCCAAAGGGTGCAAAGGACATTTAGTTTCACAGGTAGTTTAAGAGTTTAGTGGGGCCATCAGGAGCCAGACTGCTCAAGCCCCCAAGGTGGGCTGTGGTATTTTTTAAGTTTTCATTTTCAGGAGCTTTGGGTAGTGAGCGAAAGTAGGAGATGGCAGGGACAAGCAGAGGAAACCAGGCTTCTCTGCTGGGATGCTGGGGGATTATATCTCTCAGCTGGCCTTGGTGCACCTGTGAATGCAGGAGTAAGCAGTTAGAAGAAGGATGAACTTTGCGAGATCCACGGACTGCTTTTAGCTGAACAGGAGCCGCCCACACCAGAACCTTTGCGGAAAATGTTAAACTGGATGTCAGCAGGTCACTTCTGACTAGATTGGAGTCTAAATGCTGCATTTTTAACAGTCGGGGTCACAGCTGCACATTTAACAGCATTTGAGGTAACAATTCCAGCACATAATGTTTCCTTGAAAATATGACTTACAACAGGACACGGAATTGCAAAATGTCAAAGGATGCATGACAGTGGGAACAAAATGCAAGGAGTGTGTGGAAGGTTTCATTGTGGTGATAGTTTCGGAGAGCCACTGAGGAGGGGCTGCAGTAAGCCTACAAGGCAAGATGCACTAAGCTTCAAAGTGCAGAAGCTGTTCTAAGAAGCTGCGACCTAAATTCTGATGTTTGCGATACGTTTTGATGAAAACGAAAAAGCACTGAAGATCTACCGCTTTGGTCTGCGGGCTCTTCAAGAGTGGTGTTCCGAACTGGAGCTAGGGAAATGATGCACTGTGGGGGAAAAAAATGTTCCTTTTGTTCCCTTCTCCGATAAGCCTTCCCGGTAATACTGATCTTCCACTGTCCTTGTGAGAGTCTGTGGCTCACTATAAGATTGCCGATGTTGAGTGAAGGCAAGTGAACAGACAGAGAGGCCAGTGAATCTCCATCTCCATTCAGGCTGAGGATTTCATGGAGAGAAGCTGGGTCTTGTCCTAAGGGGAGTGGCATGTAATTAGACTTCTGGAGCTAAACAATCTTCAATGCCACCCAGGGGAATTGTAAAGCCTAATGGAGTCCTCAAGACGATTTGGCTGGGGGCCACTGGCAGAAGAACATAAAATGGATTGAGAAAACAGATCTGAATTAATGCACCTGATGTTGCGAAAATGCTGCTTAGGCTTGTTAGTAAATACTGGAACCTCCAGATCAAAACAAATTGCTAAATGATTTGAAATGCCAAGTTCGTGCCCAAACGTGCCGGGCACTAACAGACTCTAGCGTTAGTCTTTTGTCATGAGTTGGCAAGCTTACATGCTGAGTGAAGCAAAAACACATGACTAAGGCAGTTTTTTCCCCTCCCAAACTTGTAATTAAACAATTCCTATAGTTACTTTGTTCATGGTTTTCATCGGCAGTAAATGTGAATCTGATTGTAGCTGTGAAACCAGGCAAAAGACGTGTGTCGCGTATCGCAGGATGAGCGCGTGTACAGCCCCTTGTGGCACCACCTCGCAGTTGTGTGCCACAGAGGTGCAGTTTCTGGACTGGAAAATAAATCACGGGTTCAGATCCCCAGCGGGGTTAGTGATGTTGTTGCACCTTGGTGCTCCAACTAAATGCTCATCTGTTTGAGAAGTGGCATACATTTAAGTCATTCTGGACGAAAGGGCCACCCAAATAAATTCATGAGGCCTATGTTTTTTTTTGTTTTACGCATCTTATGCCTTTAATAACTAAAATGTTAAAAGCTTTAGAAAGCACTTTATTTGCAACTGACCTTCTTTTTTGGGAAGCTACTGTACCTTTCCAAGTCATCACTGCGTTGAGAGGCAAGTAGATTATAACAGAGATTCCCAATGATGCTCAGTTACACAATTGAACCCTTAATTAATGTAATGATAGGATTAATGTGAACTGCCTGACTGTTTTCAGCTCTTAAACATTAGATGTTGCCTTTTAACTACTGCATTAAATAATTATCATAAAATTCCAAAGTTATTCCTCTCTCCAAACTTACAAATGTTCTACTCTAGCAAATGTTTAACTCAATTAAGGCATCAGTTAAGTAATTAAGTTCAGCATGATGAACACCACCAGGTGTGTGGGCCTCCTAGACCAGGATGGGGGATCCATAGTTTATCACTCCCCCAGATTCTGATATTAAAAAGTTTGATCTTCACAAAAGGACCATCATTGTAAAAGGAGCCATTTTGTACTTTTACCATTTTGAACTTTGCCCTTTTAAAAGAGCATATGTTTATCTGGGTCAGACACGTGTAAACATGTCTGTAAGAGGGGTGCACTTCCTGCATGTGACAGCGCCCTATCACCTTTCAAAGGGAATGGGCAGAAGGTAGGGTTCTAAATGGTATGATATCCCAGATCCATCGAGCTCCAGGTCTGCAGTGGTTAAGATCACAGCCTTTGGTTAAGACGTCAGGAAAATGAAAGTGATTTTTTTTAGGAAATTGGAGCTCAGCAAAGGGGTGACATTTTAAAGTGCTCCAGTGATTACACGAATTGTGTTTTCAGCTGTGCAGACCACAAACACTTAGTAAGTAGGCATCGAAGTATGTCGTTGCATAAGCAAACAAAGTCAAGAAGTTTAACTAAGAATGGAAAAACTCAGTACAAAGGTAAAATCCCCCACTTAAGCCTCTTTTGTTCCTAGAAACAAAAGTCCAAAGATACAAACAATGAGTTTCGTACACTTTATTTAGTATTACACTTGCCATTTTAATAAACATTTTTTAAAAAAAATTACTTAAATTAAGTTGACAGTTGAAAATACAAAAGGCTGAAAATACAAAAAACTAATCAGAAGTGGAAGCACTTGTGTGACAAACAAGTTGATGCTTCAGTTTTACAAAATAGATCAATAAAAAACCTAAAAATAGAATGCTTTTTGTGTCAAATCTACAACATATTTACAACAAAGCCGTAAATAACAGCCAAGGCACAGACTGTTTGGGTTTTGAAACATTACAGACTCTTGGAAATGCCTTCCTTAGTTCAAAGACTCCATGCAAAAGAAGCCAGCATTGCCTACCCAAAACCTGGAGCCCTTACTGCTAGCTTATTAAGTTCATTTATGTTTAGTTCCTTTTTCCATTTTAAAGGACTTCTTCTAAAGTGAGTTGCTCCTGGGGGGGTGGTCATTTAAGGTAACTGCAGTATTTCTCAAAGTTAGGTCCAAACACTAGGACTTTTTCTTGCTGTAATATGACTGCTAAATGCTTTATATTTTTATATTTATATGCCAAGTGCCATCATTATTCACTTGAACTGCTAACATTAAGAGAGATGTGGTTCACTGCATTGATACAAGTGATGTTGGTTACTGTGTAAAGTATCATTAACTCTTAAAAATTTCCCCAACTTGTTTTTTTCATACAAAAAAAACAAGCATATATGTAGGTACCTTCACATATATAATAATAACAGATTGCTTTTTAAATGTCTTTTTCACAACTCAGACATACAGTATTAATTTATCATGATTAAGATCTGGAAAATATTTTTATAAACAGCATATTTTAACTGAGAAATTACTTTGGTACACTAGCAACCGAGAAGGAACTGACATTTAAAAACCTACACACAAGTAAGCTGAAAATACAGTTTTTAATTCTATTATAAAATTGCATTTGTGCAAGTATGCGATTTTAAGATAAGTTTGAATTTCTGGAAAGGATTTAACTATTGGCAGTTTTCATTGTCATGGTAGTAGCACCACTTTATTTTTTTAGAAATGTACTTTTTATTGCAATGAAAAAGGCATAATGGTAATGTATCCGGAATTAACCAAGTTAGTGTGCTGGCCTGGGCGTGGCCGTGGGTAGCAGAAATATAAGCTTCGCTGTCTCACTGTCTGGCCAGAGGATGTGTTTTGGGTTTACTGACTGCCCTGGGCCACAGAGACCCCCCTGAAGAAGAAGAGAGACGTCCCAGTGTGCATTCCCCTCTGAATAGCTTGGCAGTGCCTGTTGGTTTATTTCTCGGTCACAGGAAGGATGTGGTTTCAGTGATCGAAGCGCATTTATCTTCTCTTCTATCCTATGGGGCTAGAACTCTTCAGCAGAAGCTAGGTTTAAAAAAAAAACAGAAGGTTTGATCTTGAATTCGTGAACAATGCATTTTCACGGATGGCATTTCATCTTGCCAGCAAACGGCTATGCTCTCAACAAGGTTGAGCAAAGGCCATCAGTATATTCCTGGTGGGATGAGAGATGCTCCAACCTGTCTGATCTTGGAACCCTGAAAAAACACTTTCCATCCCAGAGCAATTTAGTCTTAAAAGTGCTTTAAAAGAAATTCAGACTGAATTTGTCCTTGCTTATAAGTGCTTCTGTGTGAAATGTGTAAGATAGTGTACTGGGGATCAGTCACCCTCCTTAACACCCTTCAAATTTATCTCTACTCGTGACTTAAGAGAAGCTATTTCTTAACTTAATACATTTTATAAGAAAGAGGCCAAATTGTTACCAGGAATTTCCTTATTTAAAAAAAACCAAGGTACAGTGCTGAATAATTTCTCTCATTTTGTTTCTTCTTGTCCTTGTAAAATCTCGGTCAACTTCTAAAGGGCACAGTCACAAACCTGAATTCGTTCGATGAAGCAGTTTAGTGCCAGGTTGGAAGGAAAGTTCGATCAGCCCTTCAGGACCAGAGCTGGCTACTGCTGAAGTCGCGCAGCTCACTCCCTGCTGAGATTGATCCGGCACTTCCATTTCGTCCAAGTTATTAAAAAGTGTTAATGATCAGTCCCTAAGAAAAATACCTGCGAGACTGCAGCTCCCTGTACACAAGGCAGGCCACTCCTGCTGGGCTGTCAGACTGGTGGTACTCGCATATTACAGCTGGAGTTCCCCCACAGACCCCAGACACTCCACCCTCGGGCCTCTGTAAAGCTGACACTAGTGATGCCAAGCAATCCCTTACTCTGGAAGGACAGCTGAAGTCCTGTCGTTTTGTAACTGCCAGGACCAGAGTTACTGTGAGACTTTCCCCCACGGCGATTATCAGTGCAAGTTATTATACGTCCGTTTTTCAGACATTAATCATTGTGCGATCTGGGTGCACGTGGGACTACGCAAGCTTGGTGAGACTCATTTTCACAGTTAGAGAAAGAAGGAGTTTCTGTTCTCTTGATACAGTTGCATCCACTTATCTGTGGGGCCCAAGAAGTTCCTTAGTCACACAGTAATGCGACTGGAGATTTTTGGGGTTTCATGCTGACATTACAATAAATGCTACCTCCGAGATCAAGTGCTGTCGTGCAAACACCTGTCCTAAAGCAATGTTTCTGCTTTCTGCTGGATCTGCACTGTATCACAGAACAGTGCTGCTACTGTGTCAGCTATTAAGTCTAAAACTGACAGCCCGCAACAGCCTGAGCGTTGATGGGTCAATCGATATCGGATTCAGGACTTTAAAATCCTGGGGTACAAGGCTTTGATTGTAGAAGGGGTGACATTCCCAGAAGACAGGGTGGTCTCCAGGCCTTCCAGCCGATGGGAGACCACCTCCGACTTGCTGGTGCTGCACTCCAAGAAGGGTATCCCAAACTTCTTCACCTGCCCATCCTTGGTTATGAGGCAGTGCCGGCACAAGAGCTTAAGGATGGCCTTGCGCATGTCCTTGCTGGTGAGCGTGTAGATGATGGGGTTGAACAGGGAGTTCACCATGGCGATGCCCAGGAAGTAGTCGGCCTTGAAGAGGACGGCACACTTCCGGACCTCACAGCAGAAGTCCAGGAGCAGGAGGACGAAGAGGGGCAGCCAGCAGGCGATGAAGACGCCCAGCACGATGGTGACCGTCCTGAGCAGGGCCATGTACTTCTGGGACTTCCGGGCCAGGCCCTTGCGCAGGCTGCCCAGCCGCTGCGTGTTGGACTTGACGATGCGGAAGATGCGGGCGTACAGGACCACGATGCTGAGCAGCACGGCCGTGAAGATGGTGATGCAGAAGAGGATGTAGCTCTTGGAGTAGAGGGGCAGGACGGTGGAGCACTCCTCCAGGCTGCTGATGCAGTTCCACCCCATGATGGGCAGCACGCCCAGGAAGACGGACAGCACCCAGCTGGCGCCGATCAAGGCGAACATGCGGCCCTTCTTGGCGCCGTGGTAGGGCTTCATCTTGACCATGGTGACGTGCCGCTCAATGGCGATGGCCAGCAGGCTGATGATGGAGGCCGCCAGGGTGATGAAGACTCCCCCTTCCCTGATGAACCACAGGACGGGCGTCAGCTTGAGCGTGTTGGGCCCGGACAGCACGATGTTGACCATGTAGGTGAAGCCAGCCAGGAAGTCCGAGAACGTGAGGTTGCCCAGCAGGTAGTACATGGGCATGTGGAACTTCTTGTTCTTCCAGATGGCGATCAGCACCACTATGTTCTCCAGCGCGATGAAGAGGCAGATGACCAGGAACACGATGGCTTCAGGCTTCAGTCCATCCTTGTACCGGTCACCTTCCAGCTTCCCGGTGTAGTTGTAGTGTTGGGTGATGATGTGGTTGTTCTGGTACTCCCGGAAGATGCGGAACAGCTGACGGGGGGGCGCCTTGGTGATCTCCATCGCTGTGGGATGGTGTTTTATTGGGAACGTGCTCCTGAACTGTTTTTTATTATTTGATTTGTTATTTTTAGATCCCACTCATGATGGAACCAAGAACGTGGGTTCCAGGGTGGGTAGGTGGGTAGAGGAAATCAAAAAATCCACCCTGCACTTGAGAGAAAGCACACAAGTGTAAGGTGTCCTTACGTCATGTGACCACAAGAGAGCGCATGGATTCTAGTGCTTCATCATCGAAAAAGCCTGAAATCATAAAAAAGAAAAAAACATAGTAAAGACCACAACGAGGACGAGGGGAAGTAATAAACTGTCTGCGTAGATCTCTGTGCATTGCAGTGATATTAGAACATTTGTGTTCTGAAGAGAATCATGAAAAACTTGTCAATCTTACCACTTTACTGCACCTAAAATTGGTGCCAGAATTGGATCACCCTGAATTAATTAACCCTGAACATTGCATTGATCAGCTGGGCCTCTTTGCTCGAAACCTTCGGCGCTGATCAGCTGTTCGGACCCTGCCCTCGGCGGAAGCTTTGGTGTCAACAAAAATGCATTTTCTGCGTGTTTCGATAACCCATAATCCGTCTGGGCTCAGAAAAGGTGCCGGGTTGATTTGGGCTCAGCTGGCAACCCGGAACCAGACTGAAAGGAAACAGCAGAATTAGGGGGGGGGGGGTTGGGCTATTTACGGACAAGCCAAGTAAGGGGCCGTGGCTGTTTCTCGCACCCAGCAGGAGGCGAGCGAGTGGGCTTGGCTATGAGCGCTGCTGACGGCTCACGCTGACTTCTCTTCTGGGGCGCTGCGGTGTGTCCGCCGTGAGGACTGAAATAAATCGCCCCATGAGCGGGCCAGCTCACCTCCAGAGGACCCACCCCAGCCTGATGTGCGCTCCTTGTTGTTTTTACAGTGGCCTCTTCAGCCACCATCATGATTTAATGTTTCTTTTTCTCTACGGGATCTTATTATATGTCTTTTCTTTCGACTGTGTTGCCTGATGTGTATAGTCTATTTTACTTTCAAAAACTTCAATAGGTACTGGGAAAAGCTCATTTTCATTGCATTGCTTAACGTATTGCACTTTTCAAGTCGTTTACAGTAAACGCCAACAGTGATAGCTGAGTGAGTGTTGTAATTCTTTCAGGTGGGTTGAGTCAGAAGGTGCTTGTGTCCAGCCCTGGTCCTGCAGAGCCCCCGGCCTCGTGAGTCATGAAGGTCAGTCTAAATCACCTGTTACTGAATGAAGATGAATCTCTGCAAATGTATTGATCAGTTAAGCAAGTGATTTGTTCGACTGAGGAAACCGTCTTCGGGGTATACTGATTTGTGTTCAGATTGGTCTCTAAATGACGTATTTGGACAGATTAGCTGTGTGGTCGATTTTGGTTAAAGACTGTGCTCCTCAGACATAGATCTTAAACAGACGGTTGAATCAAGGGAACCGGTAGGTAGGAGTGTTGTACAGTAGTTAACACAAGGCCACAGGATAAGGATGGGGTTTTAGTTTCAACTCTACCCCAGTAAGACGATATTCCTGCTTGACCTCTGGGCAGAGTCGCCATCCGCAAGGTGTTTTGGAAAGTTCAGATCCATGGCCAAACATGTTTTAAAATGCAGGCCTACAATTTTCTTCCTCTAAATAAATATCTGGTTGATATGTGCTGAATAAAAAAAGCATTCAAGTAGACATCACAGCTGCTATATTAACTTCGGTGAGGAGATAGAAAAACATAATTTTGCTTCCTCGAACCTTTACTGTGTTTTTTACAGCTGACTTCATCCTAAAAAAACGTTTTATTCATAAACAAAAAACTGTTCATTAGGCCATTAGGTTTCAGCGTGGTTTTGTGGTTTTTCTAGCTTAATTTTAAATGTTTGATTTCTGTGAAGTAAAACAATTACTTCCACTTTAGACTAAAACTCAAATACCTGGTCACCATTTTAGGAGGTCCTGACGAGATGATTAATGACGTGTTTGATGTTATTCAACAAGTCCTGATCGTTTTATGGCACAAGGCGTTTGAGCTGTAATGCAGCACTTGCGTCGGCTGTCCGCTTTCATTTTAACCCAGTAATCGCCACACGGAGTGGGAACCCCCACACGCGCACGCGACTTCACAATCTTTCCCCCCTCGGCAGTGTCGGGGGGCGCGTGATTTTTGTTATCCTCCACATATAAAATGATGGATATAGTAACCGCGTGTCCATTGGTCTTCTATAAAGACAACTTAAGCCTTCATTCAGGGGGAGGCGGTCATTTTTCACATCACTCCAATCCCTAGTAAAACGCGTTAAAGACCTCGAGAAACCAATGTACACGGCTATAAACACCGGATCCAGATCGTAATTAGCGAGGGTACGAACACGCACGCTGCCACTGCCGATATCAGTGGGGCTCCTGGAAAGCCTGCGCATTTTGGAGAAGGATTCAGGACTGGTTTTGACGGTGGTTGGAGAGTGTGTCCGGGACTGATAATCTGCCATGGGGCAGCTGTACTGTCAAATTGCCCCCCTCCCCACACAAAACTGAGAAGTGTCAGGCCGCACGCAGCTAGGTAAAACGGTAACAACAAGAGAGAAATGGGAAACATTGTCCGGAAAACGTCGAATTGAGTGAGGCGTAATTCTGGCGTAATTCTGGCCAATCGATTCCACTTCAGAGGTTAACGATAGAGGCGGCTTTCACCATGCACACGAATTCGTTCCCCCCAGATTCGTCTCTTGTCTCGCTTTGCTACTGTTTTGGTTTTCCTCGGTCGAAACATCTAAATGTAATGTCAAGAAAAGGCGCTCAGGCATTAACACGGCAAAGAACCCTTTGACATGGAGAGCGCAATGTTCCCACGCTCAGCTGAAGGCACTGTAAGCAGTCATTTTGCAACTACAGTCAGTCAATAAACTTTTCATAACTGAGCGCAGCGCGTTTAGTTATTTGTCATTAACTAATTCCCTCTATTTTCTGGTCAGCCCACGACGCGCAGTGGGGAAAAAATAGATTTTTTTTTATACAGTAGAACCCAGCTTCGTTGACTATCGAACAACTCCACGAAGTGTGAAAGTTTTTCTGTGAAAGTTGAATCATACTGTCAAGACTGAGCTGCCAGTAGCCTTGCGAAAAATACAGTACCGTACAAAAAAAAGCCATGGGAGTTTTAATTGTCATATTTTGGATAAGTAAGAATATTTTTTCAGAAGCAGAAAGGTAAAGCTCAACTCCTTAACAGTGACATTGCTCCCGGACATAAAAATACCGTGATAAAGCACCCAGCCTAACAGTTTAAGAAACGGTGAATATTTGAAAACTCCAGCGGCAGACATACCTTAAAACTCGGCAGATGGCACGGCGGCTCTGCAGCTTCCAGGCAAAGTTAGCGCAGTGCCCGCTGCAGAGAGCACAGATCGAAGTGACACAGGCGAGTTAGTGAGCAGTCAATGGGCAGGACTCGACTTGCTTGCTACCAGCGAGTGAATTTAAAGGGGCAGGTCCCGTATGAGGTCCTGTGTGAGTGAGCTTGCCATCAACATCGCTCAACCCATATCAGCTCAATGCCCTATCCGAGGAATTTCTATTTATGCAGTGCTTTTCACCTAAAAGTGTCTCAAAGTGCCTTGTATATACTGTAGTAAGCCATTGAAATGAAGAGAGAAACAGCCACAACAATAAATTTAAAGAGGGATTTAAGGCCAGATTATATAAACCCACAGTTTAGCTAGGACACGGGATAACAGGCCTACTCTTGCAACCAATTGCAGGGTGTCTTGAATGGCCAAACAGAAAGGATCTTAGTTTAACATCTCATCTGAAAGATGACTCCCCCCTTCAGCACAGTATCTCCATTCTGAGTTGGTTAGGAAATTTTGACCTAGAGGGAAGAGCGCCACCTACTGGTCCACAAGTTGCAATAACAGCAGCAATATTGATTTCCCTGTTGTTTGCCCATCTCAGTACTGACTAGGACCAGCCTCGCTTAGCTTCTGTGATCTGACAAGATCAGGCTTAGTTCAAGAACTGAGTTAGATCAAAACAGAAAAAAAACGAAAAAGAAAGGATTAAAGCAGGAGCCATTTCTTCACCCAAAGAGTTTTGAGAGTTTGGAACAAGCCAACCATCCGTGCTGTCAAAGCTGATACCCCGGCTTCTTTTCAGAAACAGCTGGCTGACATCCTTTGGACAGTTTGCTACCAAAAGCCTAACAAGCTAGATGGGTCCTGCCTCTCAGCTTTCTCAGGATTCCAGGACTGTTCTTTTCCGGAGGGGGTGTGACGTCATGTGGTTTAGATAGGAGCAAGTCTAGTGTCTGTTTTTCCAAACCGTGTGGTTCATATCATCTGGGGCTTGAGCTGTAAATCGCTGGTTTCATTCACAATTACAGAACAGTTACCCTCCCCCCCCAACCCCAACACAAAACGCATCAAATTAATTTATCTCCGTTACTCTTTGGCACTTCAGTGTGACTTCAGTTTAGAGTTAGAAAATGCACATAGGAGTGAACATTGGAGTCTAATCTTCATAAAGACAGCATGATTTTGACATTCAAGTTCTGACTTTCAAAACTGGGTAAAAAAAATGATTTTTATTATTTTTGAAGCTTGACTTCAATTAATCAACTTATTTTAATTGGGTCTTTTAAAATGTTATGAAAAAACACTGTGCATTTTATACTGATTGGGACAGGATCGATTCAGTGCCCCGAGGTTTTAGAAATCTCTTTCAGATGTACTGTAGTTTCTCATTTGTCCCTTTGAAAACCAGCCTGAGCATTTCTTGGGCTGCAGTGAACCAAATTCCCAGCTGCTTTGTTGGAGTTGATGCTCTGTGATTGCATGTGACTTTGCACAGAAAGCTCCCAGCCCAAAGAGAATTAAAAGTGTAAAAGTAGAAGGTCCTCCTGCATCCTGTGTATTTATCTGTAAAGCTGTAGTAATAACAATTCTTCCCTGTTAGCATTTAAATGGTGCGACGTGTGAAATATCTGTGATGCGTTCACCACTGGTGTGAGTTTCCAACTCTTCTCCAAGAGTCACTGTCCTGTTGGGGATGGCAGATGGCCACTTTTTGACCAGCCGCAGCTGTTGCTGTTAGAAAGCTGGGTTGAGGGTGAGGAGGAAACGGAATCAAAGTCCAATCTATTTCTGAGTTTTATTTTGGGAGTTTCACTGACATTGTTAAGAGAAGGGAAGTCATCTCTCCTCCGGTTCCCCACCCCCACGACACGAGACTGAAGTACCAGGAACATCTGAAGGGGGATTCTGGGCTTTAATTCTGAAACAGGAAATGCAGAGGCTCGTCTGTGGGGGGGGGATATCCTTGAGTCACGCCCGCCTTGGAGTAAGATCTTGGAGTAGATGAGGATGTGTGTGGGGTGCACTGTGCTCTCATGCAGAAAGTGAAAAGCTTGTTGTCTGTCTTATTGCTCATAGTCCACTGTGACCAGATGGGTGTGTCCTAATGGGCAGATGGGCAGGGGGAGGCGGGCAGAATAGGCAAACAGGTAAGATACCATCTAGTTGCAGAAGGCAGGGCTTAAGTTTATGTGCTATAACAGCAGCAAGAAAAAAAAATGGAGGCCATGCGGCCCATCAGTCTTTGCTTGGTTATTCAGTCTCCAGCTATGGGCTGTTTCCAGCAAAGAA